CAAGGAAAATTACTACATAAATGCTTTAATATTAGTAATAAGAACGAATTGTGTAGTGATTTTCCTTGCCATCAAGCTAAAGAAAGATAGGGTTCCCCGGATAAGGTTATGGCACCGTTGATGCAGGATGCAGCACAGCAGCGGAAAGGCAGGGGAAATGTGTGTGGAGCGTGTTGCTGTGGGATACTTTCTGCACTGGTGATACTTGACTGTTCTGGAGAAAGGGGGGGGGGGGGCGTCTTGACTGTGCTGGAGCTTTTTGTGTGTTCTTATCTCAGAAAACGAGCTCTAAAACTCATTTTCTTAAGTCAATTCCCCTACAAATTCGTCAACTTATTCTTTACTCTCCACATAAGTTGACAAATTTGTAGACGGATTGACTTAAGAAAACGAGTTTTAGAACTCGTTTTCTGAGATAAGTTGGCACACGATGTGCAAATCGAGGCTTTGAATCTTTGTTGCGGTGTTTCGACTTCCCCCGGTGCTCGCTTCTCTACCCACTCGGTGGGCTACGAGGGTTTCGTTCCCCTGAATTTCCAGGGTGTTACGTGACCAATTTGCATTAGAAAAAATCGTCAAGTTAATTGTCTTCGGGCAAGTTGACTTTTGATGAAAGGTTCGTAGTCCACCGTATGGCAAACAGCCCCGCAGGAACGGGTCTGAGCGCTAGCCGCATCCCCCCCTCAAAAACCAGCTCTGTCTGGGTTTTATTCTTGCTCTTCCTAAAGGCTTTCTATTCGCTCTTTTGTACTGGATTTCTGCGCCTAAATACGTTTAAGGACGAGCCAGAATAAACCGCAGGCAGAGCTAGACTTAAACCCCTGAATGCCAGCTGGGTGTACGGGAAAGCGCACGTCTGTCAGTCAGGTGGGGGGGGCACTCCATCGAATCCAGAAATCGATTCAGCATATCAAGGACGAGCCAGAATGAAACGCAGGCAGAGCTAGAAAAAGGCGATAGCGAAGAACGTGGTAGCGATCGGGCGTGTCTCTGTTCGACACGCCCGACCATGCCAAAAGTTGTTTCGAAACAATGCCAAAAGTTGACGAAGCTGGCGCAAGACTCTCGACGTTGGGAATTGTTTGATGATTGTTTTCGTGGCCAACAGATGTGAAACCCGCTATCCCTTAAGTGGCCAGTAGGCTCATACGCCCTACCGTAGGGCCCTAGGACCTGCCTATGACCTCTTGGACGTCAACTGTGGCTGCCTGGCCACTTAAGGGATACCAAACACGCCCGCGGGAAAGTGCCTGAGCGCTCAGGCACTTTCCCGATACACGATACGTATCTACTCAAAAAGCCACGTCCCCCACCCAACCGTGCCCCCCCCCCCCCCCCCCCCCCC